TGAATGCAGACATTGCTGTGTTGGTTGAAAACCTGCTTGAAGCAGAGCTGCAGCGTATCCACAAGTACATCAAAAGGTAAAAACATGGATAATGAAGGCACACGAGCAAAACAAAACGGCCCCAAGAATCCCAGAAACGTCTTTCAGTTTGCAGTTGCAGTTTTTAAATATTCTTCTTCCTCATCTACCAGGTGGCGTGACGTGGTGGCTGTTCGCCGTCAGCTGAAGCGACAGATGCGAGGCTTTCCTGCAGCCCCTTGCTGCGTTGACCCTCGCTTTAAACTGAAAGCTCTGGCTCCCAGCGCCCCTGCTCAGCCCTCCATAGCAGATCTGGCTCGTGGTTTGGTCAACCTGGGAAATGCTGGCATGTTGGCGCTCTCCAGCACCAGGTGTGTGTATATCCTGTATATCCTGTCCCCTCCTGTCTCCTGTCAGTGTTGGACGATGAGCACAGTTCCTTTGCTGTAACATGTTTTCTGTCTGTCCAGGTTGTACAATATGAAACGAGGAGCAATCCACCAGATGAGAGTTCACTACTACTTTCAGCAGCTGCTTGAGTAAGTCCTGTTCCTGTGTTTGTTCAGTCAGCAGTCCGTGTCACAAAGTGTCATTTTGACCTGTTTCTGGCATCGCCCTCAGCGAAACAGTTTGGGCGCCTCTCGACCTGCCGGCACTGGTGACGGAAAACATCCCCAACGCACCCGAGCGAATCTTCTGGAAGGCCGTCGTTCTTTTACCCAGCAACCATGAGAGCGTTGCCAGCCTGGCAGACAGGTGCTCTAATGCCCTAAAGATATTCTAGGCCCGGTTTTCTATGAACATTTCACTGATTGTGTCCTGTCTTTTATGATTTCAGGATCCTCTCTGACTGGCTGGAGGTGAAGCTCGGTGGGCATAAGGAGTCAGAGGGCAGGGAGGAGCAGCCAGAGGGCACCCTGCAGACACTGACTGTCACCAACACGCTGCAGGAGAGCGGACAGCGCACTCACAAAGTCCACATTAGCATCAAGGTCAGATCACGCGGGGCATGCAGAAATAGAAATATGATTATTCAGAGCACAGCTGTGCTAGAATCACAATAGACAGGAGCTTCACGTTAGGTTAAATGTTTTAAGGCTGAAGCTGAAAGGCTTGTGTGAAGAAAAATAACTACAATAGGTTTAAAGGGTAAAGAAGAAGCAGCTTTTTCAGGGACATAAATCATGTTTTGCTGAGATTAAAAGTACCAGAAGTCCGTTAATGATCAGAAAAAAAAACCGGTTAGGAATTATATTTTAATATTTCTTTCCCCACCCCGCAGGTGTCTCGAGGTCCGCTAAACGAAGACGGCCTGTCAAAAATGGAGGAGAGTTGTGAGCTCCAGGGGACGAGCGCCCTCATCATGCTGCTGCCCGCCCTGCCCACCGTGGAGCCTGGGGAGGACGAGCAGGACGTCCCGCTGTTGTCCGCCTTGCTTCAGCTCAAACAGCTACAGCAAGCCAGCGCCTGGCACTGCCCACTGCCGCTCGTCATCCTGGTGCCGGGGCTAGACGGGGGCGCAGCTGATACACAGAAACTTGTTGAAGGTGAGAAATGGTAGTGAAGACAGCACGAAGAGATTTCTGTAGTAGTTGGTAAATGAGTGTTTTTAAAAAAGCTTCATCTCTTCTAGCTCTGAAGCTGCACACACTGGTGAAGGACGGCCTGATATCAGAGTATACGTTCTTCTTCATACCAGAGACCACTAATGATCTGCAGGGATCCAAACAGGTATGCATTTGCTCCTTTGCCATCATGGAGGTTTTTTTTGGTCTTGCTTTTTTTTCTTTACTGACCTTCTCCATCTTCTCTCCGTCCTGTCCTGTTGTTTGTCTTCAGATAAACCAGGCCGTGCGCTGGCTGGCTCTCCGTACTCTGCCACCTTTCAGTCTAACCTGTAAGACCCTAGTGGAGCTCATTGAGTCCACCTTAAGTCATGAATTCAGTCCCAGAGTTTACTCCCACCGGTTGGAGCGAGCTACCGCACATCTTCCATCCCAGGATCCAGCTCCTGTCGTTCAGCTTTACAACGCAGTCCTGACTCACGTTGCTGATAAAGTGGCATCTCAGGAGCTCTGCGGGCTCTCATGGCCTCCGGGCGAATTCTGTCTGCCTGACATGAGGGATTTTGTGCCTCATCTGGCCTGGAACTCCCACCAGCACCTGGCCTGGCTGCGGGAAATCATCCTCAGCCTGCAGCTGCCAGAGTGGGAGCAGCTGTCCGCAACAGGTCAGTTTCACACAGAAAGAGATTTATCTTCCACAAAGATATTCAAAGGTTAATAATCCTATTTTATATATTTAATCATCTTATTTCTCTCTTTAGACTCGTGGTCTGAGCTGTGCTCCTCCATCTGTCGCTACGCCGCTAAGATCCCGGTCTCACGTCGCAATCAACCCCTCCTCATGTCTCGACTCGAAAACCTTCTGGAAAGAGTCAAGTTAAAGAGTCGGCGCACCCGAACCCCCGGATACACTGGAGAAGACGATGTATGTGTGGACTTCAGTTTGATTCCTTGGGATGACGTGCTGATGATCTGCATTGACCACAAGCTGAAGGACTGGCAGATACCTAAACCACCTGTCTGCCAAGGTGAGGACCATGCTGCTGTAATTAATTAAAGCTAAATTTGATACTAATTAAAACCATATAGAGCACTTAATAAAGTTACCAAATACAATAAAAATGTAAAGACAATTAAGTTTTAGTCTTTGTCAGTTTGGTCTAATTTTCTGTGGAAGATCATCTTAAAGAAATACCTATTTTCCACTTTTGCTATTGATGTTTTTGACCCATAATACCTATTTATTGTTTGTTTTAAGATGCTGTGACAGAGGATGGAGAGATCCTGGTTTACTTCCCCAAATACTCACTGAAGGGCTTCCAGCCGCCCAAGGAGTGGACGGAGGCCATGAGGCAAACTCACAGAGAGAAGCAGCAAGAGAAGGAGGGGTAAGAAGGCCCAGGAAAACCCCACAGGTTGCCAATGCCTCTGAGACATGCACATCTTTCTTTTAATCTGACAGCACCTGAATGTGCAACACTATTGTGCAGTGCATGAAGCGAAATCTCAGACTCCCCAAAAACAGTCCTACTTAAATGCTCTAAAGCCGGCGTCATGGTGGCATCCTTGGAGCGCCTCCTTTGCTCTTCCTTTGTTCCTAATTCCTCCGGTTTTCTCCCTCCTCAGGGTGAGTGTAGCTGCTTATGCCACACCCACCACGGCGACCCTCAGGCAGAGGTTGTTCCACAGTCTGGTGGAGCCCGTCGAGGCTCCGTCAGCCCCGCTGGACATCACCCACACGCCCACGCCACCGGAGCTGCTGGCCCACAAAGTCCTCCAGAGCTTAGAGGAGGAGAAAGCTGAAAGCAAGAGGTACACCTACATCACTGCTTTTAAATGTGATGTTCATGGATTAGGGTAGTGGGGCTCACACAGGTAGGGAGTTTTAGACCCAGACTATATTTTTATGACCATAAGGCCATCCCACACCCACCAGTTCAAGTGAACCTCAGTGAACCTCATGGCAGTTTGCAAAATCATCACAATTTTTAGTATAATGAGAATTTTCCACTTCTTTTGTGTCCCCTATGAGCAATTTTTCATCTGCTGGGTATCCAGGAGCAAACCATTACACCCTGATTCATTTTCTGCTGCGTTCGTTTCGTTTTTGATTCAATATTAATTAAAAATCTTGTCCCTGAAACCCTTGCGCAGGTTCAAAAGGTTCTTGTTGACTGAAGATTGTTTTTAGCCATCTCTAGTCGAGCTAAACTTGAGAGCGACTGAATTTGGGATGAAAGAACGAAACAAGAGCATTGTAATCAGAATGAACTCATAATCATCACAAGTCAAAATTGTGATTTTTATATTGAAGTTTGATTGACTGGGGAGTCTGACAGTAAACACACCCTCTCTGCCTTTCTGCAGGAGCATGGAGCAGCTTCAGTGCTGGGTGGATGGCGACCCTTTGGAGCAATTGACCACCCCGCTCTTCCTCCCATCCTCCACCCTTCTGTCCATGCCCACCACCATAAGGCACACCCCCACAGCCAGGACTCGAGAGGCATCTTTCACACAGGTACGACTGTTTCCCGACACTGAAATAGGTTCGCTGTTTAAGCTGCTACAGATAAAGAAAATCTTTTATCTTTCCAGGAGCCTGATGATCCTTTGGAAAAAGTGACCCGGCATAAGACTGCTCCTGAATCTTTGACGTGGCGACTGAAGGAGCTGCAACGCCAGATTTTGGCAAGCCAAGAGGAAGAACTGGCCTGCAGGCTAAAGCTGAGTGGCATGCTGAGCATCGTCGATGACTGACAGCACTCGAAGCAAACAGAAGTGTTTGCATCTACATACCTGTCTGTGACATGATCATCACCTTTTCATCTCAGTGTGGTCAGGTCCACGGACTACAAATAGGAGTGTGTTGGGTTTTGTTTGTTTGTTTGTTTGTTTGTTTGTTGTTTTTGTTGTTATTTTAAACATGAAAATGTATATTTTTAGCACTGGATTAATTTTGTAACACTGACTCCAGATTTATTGTTGTTCATTAAGAGTGTCTCTGTGTAACTAGCACATTAAACGCTGGGGATTGAACTCCTTTAATCCCACATTATTATTGAATATTACTGAATTGTTGAATAAAAGTGGAATATTTTTCTTGTAAAACCGTTTGTCATTGTTATCATTGCTTTATCACTGTCCAGCTGTGAGCCACATGTGTATGTTTATCTGAGCAGCTCTATGATTCGACGACCTCACTGTAAACCCCGCCCATTTCCCCTCCCACTCGGTTTGTGATTGGAAAGCCGAGTCTCTGCTCATGTCTCTCCATGTGGAGAACTCCTCGGACGGGCCTCGCAAGGCCTCCTGGGAAGTGGAGTTTAAGATGTACTAAACTCGCTGCACTCGCTGCCCTCTCAGGACTACAGTTCCCGTGGAAACACCGGAAGGGGCGGAGCTTCGGGAGCTCTTGAGATGAGATTCATTCACGTATTTCAGCGGAGGGTTTGACTGATCTGACAGCAGCTATGACTGAGGGAACGTGAGTATTTGGCTTCTTTCATTTAACAACTATGAGATTTCAATTTCAGTGAGATTTTTACCTGAATAAATAGGATGATAATAAATGAATCATTCATAGTGCACGTTTTTGTCGTAACTCTAAGAAATGTTTAAGAAAACATTAGTGAAATGTACTTGTTAATGAGCTCAGGAATTATAAAGAGTTTTTAGATAGCTAAAATTTGGGGATGGGATGCGAGAGGTCGGAGCCGGGTCTTACCTGCTTATGAAACAGGTTGACAGTCAAGTGTTTAATAACCTTTGAGCATCTGAAAATAGGGTCTGTATGTAAAATTGCTCTAATTTATAAAAATTAAACAATAATATTTTGTTAAATCTCTTGAAATCAAGCTGGAAGTCTGCACTTCAGTCACATCTGTAAAAGGCAATCTACAGAAGTGTTTCCTTCTTCAAATACTCTTTCTGCCAGGCACCTGCGGAGGCGAGGGGGGCCGTATAAGACTGAGCCAGCCACAGACCTAAGCCGCTGGAGGCTGACCAATGTGGAGGGCCGGCAGACGTGGCGGTACCTGGAAGATCAGGAGACCGCAGACAGAGAGCAGAGCATGCTGGAGGCCCATTCACTCGGCTTGGACACGGTGGGCTCCTCAGTTATTTCCCATCTTTTACAGCTTTTGAGTTGACTGTTTGGCTCTTACTGGAAACTGGATTTCTCAGAGCGACACAGTAAACTTGAATATCTTTAAACTTTGTGGATGACCACAGTGGGTGGTAAGATCACTGATTCTCTACACAGAGTAAGTTCGTGTCCGACTCTCCAGCCGCCCACACTGCTGTGGACGCCGCAGTGAAAGGCATGCACTTCTACAGTCAATTGCAGGCCGAGGACGGTCACTGGGCAGGAGACTATGGAGGGCCTCTCTTCCTGTTGCCAGGTGAGTCTAGTCATCCTCCTTATCCTGATGTCTGTAGTGACTTTCCTTTTTGATAAATCTTATGCTTCGGGCTGGATCAGCTAACCCTGAATCCATCCTTAGTCACGCTGCAATAGTCCAAAGCTGCTGGGGGATTCCTATGATGCACTGAGTGTTTCTTCTTCACCTCTTTATGCACCACTATAGCACTGAATCTTTAGCAATTATTAAACGCTGGCTCTCTGTGCCATAGTTTGTCTTTTGTCCATCTCCCTCCTCGTTCACACAGACTGTCCCTCCCTGAGACTGTTTCTGCAGGTTACCTGTTCAAATGGAGTTTGTCCTTTGTTTTGATTGTTGGTGTTTTCTCTGCATTAGGGTCTTCAATTTAAAATATAAAACGGCTTGAGGTGGCTGTTGTTGTGAATTGATGCTATATAAATAAAACAGGGTGTGAGGGATTTCATGTCTCTGTTCGAGTGCTTCCACAGGTCTCCTGATCACCTGCCATGTAGCTAAGATCTCTCTGCCTGAGGCCTGGAAGAAGGAGATGGTGAGGTACCTGCGCTCAGTCCAGCTCCCTGATGGAGGCTGGGGTCTGTAAGTCAACAAATGTTTTTTTTTAATATTCTTTTAATGTTCATATCACCATACCAAACTTATCCCTCATGTGGAACTGATATCAGTAATAACTTCCAACCTGTTATTACATCAAAACTCTTACCAGATTTAAATAAGAACCAAATACAGGGGAAAACAAACGAATAAGAAGCACTGAGACACAAAGACAAACACATTTAACAGCACATATAACAGAGAGGCTGAGAGTTTAGTGCTGCTAAACTGCTCTAAAATGATCCCAGGAGAGCACGTTTCCAAAGTCAACCCCTCAAGCGCTGATCACAGCAGCAGTGAGCATGTGTGTGTCACCTCTGCAGACATGTTGAAGACAAGTCCACCGTCTTTGGCACAGCGCTGAGTTACACCTCACTTCGGATCCTGGGAGTGGATCCCGATGATCCAGACATGGTTCGTGCCAGGAACAACCTGCACAGCAAAGGTCTGTCATGTTCAGTGTGTGTTTTTCTCCATGGTGTCATGTTCTGAGCTGCAGTGTACCATAGCGCTCTGTGTTTATCTGGTACAGGTGGAGCAGTTGGGATTCCCTCGTGGGGGAAATTCTGGTTGGCCATTTTGAACGTCTACAGCTGGGAGGGAATGAACACGCTCCTGCCTGAGATGTGGTGAGTGGGAGATGATTTCCAGGCTGCAGGTAGGGGCAGAGAACCCCTACCTGCTTCCACAACAATGAACTAATTAACACAGTAAGGGCACACCTTTGCTTACAATAAAAGAAAGAAAACCAAAGTTTCACAGAGTTTAAGTT